GGATGCGCTTCATGGGCCTGGGTCACAGAAGGCTCCACGCACAGAGCCACAGGTGACCCCAGAAGGACACGGAGTGTGAGCCCAAAATCAGCCTTTGAGTCTCGAGCAGTGGGGACTGATGCACCTGTCCCCAACCCTGCTCTGCCCCCTGCGTGCTGTGTGACTACAGGCAACTTTCCACCCTCTCTGAGCCTCAGGCCTGGTGTAAGGGGGCCAGGGGACCTTCTCCATAGATAACACCTCTCCGTGGATCAAAGGGGCTAGTGAGGCCCCTCACACTACAGTAAGTGCTCACCAATGTTCATTTGTCTCCCTCCCCCTGGCTTGGCAGAGTGTATTAGATCAAGAAACATCATGATTCTAGAACCTCTTCAGTCTTCAGAAGACTGCCAGTGTGTAGGCAGGTTTTGTGTGTAACAGGCCTGATGGGGTTGAACAATGGACAAGAACATCCAGAAGCTTCTGACCACACTCAGGGACTGCACTCAGAACCTGAAGCATCTGGATGGGGCTATAAAGCCTGCAGAACAGGGCCCGGGACTCTCGGGTCCTCAGGCACTGGGGAAAGGAAAGTTTTAGGGGACAGAGGTTTCACCTGAGGCCAAGGGAAGAACGCTCATTCATCCACTCCGTCCTGGGAGGACCTTTCTGCCTTCCTAGAATCCCCCTCCCATTCTCGCCCTCTCGCAGCCCACCTGCCCGGCGGAGGAACGCCCACTCACCGCACACGACTCTGTCCCAGGACACCACTGTCCCCAGGGAGAGCTGACCACGGGCCCTGCTGGTTCAGGGCTCTGGGTCTGGGTCACCCGGCAAGGGACGGTGTGCAGTACCCTCTCCCGAACACCCAGGGCCTCTGCCCGCACGGCAGGACGTGGCACCTTGCCGTGGCCGCGGGCCTGGCAAGGCTGCTTCCTTCGCTCTGCCTGCCTTTTCTGCCAGGCAGCGAGAACCAAAACAAACCATTCTGTTCCTCCAGAAAAATACAAATAAATAAGTCATCGGAAGCGCTCTTCTTTTCCCTGTCACCAGCCCTGCCCCCTCGCTGATTCACTGGCAGGGTGGGGGAGGTGGGCGGGTGCCAGGCGCCATGGCCGCCAACGGACCCTGTGCATCTTCAGGAAGCCCGGGAAGGGGCATCGCTGTCCCGGGCCGTCTAGACGGGCTGGGCTCACATGGGTCCCCAGCCCCTGCGCCCCTCCCCATGCTTCCCCTTGCACTTCATACTCAGGCCGCAGGGAAACCTTCCTGGAAATGCTCATTCTTCTGGACCACATGGCTCCCAACTTCTGGATGCAGGGGAACCCGGCACCATGCCTCCCTGCATGAAACGCAAGGACGATGGGTGTGGTACAACCTGGGTGAGGAGCAGAGCCCAATTATTCTGGGGTAGGCACAGCGCCTCTCTGGGCCTCTGTCCACATCTGTGGGAAGGGAGGTGGGGAATAACAAGGAGGAATCCCTCCAGAGCAGTGGATCCCAAGCAGGGCAATCCTGCACCCCACAGCTGGCAACATCAGGAGACATGGCTGGTTGTCACAGCCAGCTGGAGGGGTGGGGTTGCTCCCAGTGTCTCGTGGGTGGTGGCGAGAGAGGTTGCTACACACAGGGCAGCCCCCCCACCCCCTGCCCAGGAAGAGATCCAGCCCCAGGTGTCAGTGGTGCTATGGTGGGGATCCCCACTCTAGGGCCTCCCCACTCGGATCTGCCTCCATTGGTGGAGGCCCCAGATTTATTAAAGCAGCCTCCAGACCCGGCTGGGCTCCTGGCTCCCCCACTGACGGGCTGCCTCCATCGGGCAAGTTACACAACCTCCCCGTGCCTCACCTTCCCCGTGCGTGACGTGGGCTCAGGATGGGCCGTCAGGTGCCCTCAGTGACATGGCAAGGACGGAGCTGAGCACCAAGCTGGCCCCGTGCCATGCACTCCGTAAGTGCTTTCTGAGATTAAAGAATCAGAACTAAGCTAAACTTCTTTAATATTTCCATTCCTCCCCAGGGGAATGGTTTTATTGTATGGCTGAACCCTTCCTCACAGCAACGAGACCCCGCGGTGCTGAAATGATGGAGTATTCTGTGTGAGATCCTGTGGAAATGTGCAGATTATAGAAACCTGTGGGCTTCAAAACGAGGATCCCAGACACTAGTCACCAGAGCCTTGGAGAAGTCTGCTTGCCTTGCCAAGCCTCTGTCTTCCGTCTGGCTTTTGGCCGGCAAGGACAGCACTCCGGGGTCCTAACCTCAGTGTTGGCACCAGTCCCCACACTCAGGGAGTCAGTCTGTGGTCTTACAGAAGGCTTGGGTCAGATTCCAGGCCTGATTCCAGCCCTTGTGATGGACAGGACTTGCTGAACGACTTCACACACAGAATTATTCTAAGGCCTGAGCAGATGGCAAGATATTCAGGGGAAGCACCCATGCATTTGAGGAAGGAAGGCTGGGGAGTCGGCCTTGGTGGGAGGAGGGAGATTTGGATGATATTCAAGGAGTCTGCATCTCCTGCCTGACCAAAGGGAAAGGAGATTTCCCCTGAGGGAGCACGGCACAGCGGCAAAGTGTTCAAGCCCCAACATCAGACAGACAGATTGGGGCTCAGACCCCCCAGTGGTGCCACCACTCCCTTCCACAGTCACTCAACAAACCCTCCTTCCAAGTGGACTTTTCCTTGCCATGAAAAAAATAGAGCCACCCAAGAGTCAGCCTCGGGCTTATTGGGAAAATATCTGAAGCAGCCCAATTAATATCAGGAAGAAGAGAAGAGCGCTTGATAATTCCAAAGATGGTTTTAGAGGTACTAGCCAACATGACTGGACAAGAAAAAGAAATGGGGCACAAAAACTGGAAAGCAAATAAAGTTATCATTGTTTGCAAATAGCATAATGGGAAACTTAAGAGATTATCAACAGAAAAAGTATAACAAAGATAAGAAATTTCAGTAAGGTGGCTGGGTATAAAATTCATATATAGAAACTGTTAAGTTTTGTCATCTAAATGAGAGTCAGTTGAAAGATGTAATGGGAGAAAAGACCCTATTTATAATAGCAGCGTACAAAGCAATAAGTAGGAACAAGTGCAAAGATATGCATACGATATCTATGAAGATAATTCCAAAACACTATGAAAGAAAATTTGAACAAGTGGAAAGACAAACAGATCTTCCTCAACTTATGATGTGGCTATGTCCCAATAAGCCGATTGTAAGTTAAAAATATCATAAGTACACACTGCATTTACTACACCCAACCCACCAAACATCACAGTGTAGCCCAGCTGACCTTAAACGTGCTCAGAACACTCACATTAGCCTACACTGGGGCAAAATCATCTACCACAAAGCCTATTTGATTATCAAGTTGTGGACTATGTCATGTAATTTATTAAATACTGTACTGAAAGTGAAAACCGCAATGGTTGTATAGGGACAGAAAGCTTGCAAGTATGTTGGGTGTCGAGCCTCATGATTGCCTGGCTGACTGGGAGCTTCAGCTCACAGCCACTGCCCAGCATTACAAACAAGGTTTTGTTTTTTTTTTTTTTGATAATTGTACTGTATTCTGCTAGCGTGGGATGAGATCAAATTTCAAAGTATGGATTCTACTGAATGCATGCCACTTTCTTACCATCGTAAAGTTGAAAATTCATAAGTTGAATCCTCATAAGTCAGGGATTATCTGTACTGTGTTCTTGGATTCAGTACCATGAAAAGTCCATTCTCTTTGAATTAATCTATGAATTCAACACAATCTCAGTAAAAAATACTAAGTGGATTCTTGGAGGGGCAAGACTACACAAGCTACTTCTAAAGTTTGTATAACAAAAGAGCTGAGGGAATAGATTAAGAAGGCATTAAAACATATCAAAAGCCGCAGGAGGTAACACAGTGAGATACTAGTGTATGGATAGACAATGAAAGCCATGAAAATGTATCACGATCTATCTAGATACTCAAATCTAGTATATTATAATATATAAGTTTGCAGTTTACATCAGTGGGGGAAAGATGGACAATTCAGTGAATGGTATTGGGACAATTGGCTACCCGTTTGGAAAAAAAATAATAAAGTTGGATTCCTACCTCAAAACTTACATCCAAATAAATTCCTAACAGATCAAAGATTTGAAGGTGAAAAATTAAAACATAAAAAAAGTAAAGGAAAACATGAGTGGATTTTTAATGACCTCTGAGTCGGGAAAACCTTTCTCAGTCTGATACAAAACCCAGAAGATATAAAAGAAAAGAAATGGATCCAATTTGATTATATAACAACTAAAAATTAAGCATGAGATAAAAGCATCACAAATTTAAAGACACATTGAGAAAATATTTGCAACTCATTGTATTTCTTTCATATATAAAGAGTCCCTATAAATAAATAAGAAAAAAGCCAACAATTCAATGGGAAAATGGCAAAGGACATAAACAGCTGGCTCTCAGTAAAAGAAATACAAGTGGCTCTCAAACATGTGGAAAGATGCTTAGTTTCTTCCACTCATGATGAGAGAAATGCATGTTGTTTCAATCCTGCTTGCCTTTCCTTAGCATATCCCCACTGCTTTTCTGCAGGGTTAATTTCTCTTTCTTTACACTCTTGGTCCCTTCCATTAGAGCCTTGGTCTCTTATGTTTTAATCACATTAAGGAAAGAGGCTGCCTGGGATTAATCTCTGGGTCAGAACCGCCAATCAATATCTGTTGCACAAATAAATAACGAAGGAAAGAATGTGGATTCCTGGTCCATGCACCTTCCATGCCTCTAAGCCTTCCATTCCCCATCCTCGACTTCACTTAACTTCTGTAGCAGCCCGGGGAGGTGGGTATTGTGCCCATTTCTCAGAAGACAAGGCTAAAGTCAGAGGACAGACAGGCCAGAAAACCCGTCACCTGAAGACTTCCCCAGAATCCTTCCAGGCCCACCTGTCCTGCTCTGGTTACCCGACAGCTGCCCCAGGGGATGGGGTGATTGAGTGGCCCCCTGCCGCCACGGGGGCCCCAGCACGGTACTCACTTGTGCATGTAGCCCTCGGAGCCGGCCGTGAGGTTCGCCTGCATCACCGCCTGGAACTCTGTCTCGTTGCAGCAGTATTTGAAAACCGTGTTGTTATGGTGACAGCAGAGAATGAAGGTTTTGTTGTCCGAGAGCCGGGGGCAGTGGAAGCCAAAGTGATAGCGGCCTTTGTGGTCCGTATACGGCTCACAGACCCGGAAATGCGCGGACAAGACTGGAAAACAGAGTCCCGGGCTCAGTGAGGGGCTTCCCCAAGCCCGCTGCCCCGGGAGTCCACGAGCACCGGGACAGGGAGCGCGGTCAGTCTGTTCTACGGTGCTGCTACCCTCTTCCCTCCCCAGGAGGGCTTTGTGGTCCAGGAAGCTGGCTCCAGGCTGATGTCACGTCCCAGACTTCCCTCGACACCAGCCCTGCTTCCATGTGTCCCCTAGACGGGGGGCTCCTTGCAGGCAGGGCTGCATCTTAAGCCTCATGGGGATCCCCTCCAGGGGCTCTGCACACAGCAGGCACTCAACTAGGACACAACATTAACTGAGCGCCCTATGCACGTCATACACTACATCCCATTTAACCCATTTGGCCAGCCTAGCAGCGGGTCTGGGATCCCACTGAGGCTCCGTGATCTGAGCTGGTAAGAGGTAGTGGAGGGAATCCAACTCAAGCCTGCCTGGGTCTGACGTCCAGCCCTCTCCACTCCTGTCACAGGCTTTAATAACCTCTGCTACTGTGTGGACTGGGGGTGGCCCGCCCCCAAGCCCAGGACACCTGGCTGGGGAGCAGCATGGGCGCAGGAACCGGGTCCCCCTCTTGAAGGAAGCAGCATCTCCTCGGTACCATGGTTTCTACTAAACCAGTGCCCTAGCCCCCGAGGTCCCCAGGGGCCTGCCTTGGCCACCCTCATCTCACGGTCACAAAGCTGCCCTGGCTTTGGGCCCTCCCTCCCCTGGCTCAAGGAGGGAGGCCCCTATTCAGCCACAGAGGCTGCTGCAAACCCAGGATAGTATTTACCAGTCGTGCGGATGGTGATAAATAGGAGCGAAAGCCTAAGCAAATGTAACAATGGAAAAAAACCTGGAGCCCACTGTCTCTGGCTTAATTAGTATCTTCATAAAAGGGATCACTGTATCTAATTTGTATCACTGAAAAGGGGCTTCGTTGGCTGAATACATGTCTCTAACCACAAAGGCTCTGGTTTTGCAAAAGCTCCTCAGCTAGTTGAAAGCTCTGTCTCTGCGGAGCGGTAACCAGACAGCAGCCCACAGGGCTCCCTGTGCGCCCGCCCGGGGCTGCCGGAGGGGAGTCCCTGCTGTGCGGCGCTGGCCGGTGGGCAGACGGGCCTCACGAGCTGGAGCGCTGAGGCTGGCTTGGGTGGCCTCCTGAAATCCTGTGCCCAAAGTACAGCACCCTATTTCATGGGGATAGACGTGAGCACTTTGGGAAGAGGGCCCCAGAGTTTCAGGGTTCAGGGGAGCCCTCCAGGCCCCCTTGCTCGGCCTTGACCTCGGGAAACAGAAGACCCTCCTGTGGAGACACAGGGGCTCTAAGGATGCCCCATCCTTGGCGGGGCATGCCCCATCTCATTTAATCTCATGTACTCCCATTGTACAGAGGAGAAAACTGAGGCTCAGAGCAGGAGTCTCACAGCGTGGACCTGACCTGCTGCATCTGCATCTTCTGGGGACATGTCACAAAGCAGTTTCTCAGGCCCCTCAGCAGACCTTCTGAATGAGCGACGCTGGCGTGGGAGGCAAGCCCTGCAGGGGAGGCCGATGGGCTGGGGTTTGGGACCCGCCCGCCCAGAGGAAAGACGTGCCGGTGGCTGGATGGGAGGGTTAGAGGCAGGAAGTCCAGTGTCTGTCCAGACAGGTGAGGACGCCCTGCTGCGGGTCAGCTCACAGGGAGCGACACGCAAGCAGCTAGTGAGAAAGACCAGCTCAGGCCCTGAGGCTGGATCGAGAGGCTAGGACCCGAGGCAGGAACCAGGGAGGGAAGGGACAGAGTGGGGAGGTGGCCTTTGAGCTGGACTTCAGGGGAGCCCGCTGCACAGAGCTGGGGTGGGGAGGGAGGCTGGGTAAGGCAGGGGACAGGAGACGTCCCACTGGATCACCTGGCCCCCCCGGGGGGTCAGTGCCGACTGTGTTGCCGTTTGGCAAAGACAAGGAGACCACGGCCGCTTCCCACGGAAGAATGAGCTGAAGTTGCCTAAAGCTAGGAGCCGGGACAGCGGGCTCGGAACCGTGGAGCACGCGGGGTTACCTGGGCTATCACGACCTCTCTGGGCCTCCTTCCCCCCCCCCCCACAGATGGGAGACCCCTGGCAGCCCGGATGGCTGGGGCTCCGAGGAGAGTTCTGTAAACAGCAAAGCTTCGGCCTTGCTTCGAGCAGGGAGGTATGAGTGAGAGAGTGAATGGATAATACAGGGCTGCGCCTGCTGGCTTCCAGGCTCAGTGTGGTTCTCAGCCCGTGCCTGGGGGCCGAGGGCAGAGGGATGCTCTGTTAGGAGGCCAGCGGGTTCTGAGTCACCAGGAGAACAGGTCCAAGTGGAGAGGGGACACCAAGGAGAGAGCTGCTCTCTTGGGCTCCGAGGGACAACCACAGTGCGCCATCATCTCTCAGCCACGTGACTGTGGCCTCGGGCAGCTCACGGTCCTTCTTTGAGCCCTGTTTCCTCACTTGTAAAAGGGGTGAAGGCCTCCTCCTCTCTCCCAGGAGGCAGTGAGGGCCAGATGCGCTAATGCATGGGAAAGGAGTCAAGGAGGAACTTGGTAAACAGCGGCCCCCAGACCCTTGGCCTGGCTTTGGCTCCGCTGTCCTGAAGCCCCCAGTCCCCAGGGCCCTTCATGGCCTCCCTCGGAGCCAGGCCCTCAACAAAGGGGCAAGAGGGCATGAGGAGGTCCTGTGCACGGATGCACGAACAAGAGAGACAGGGAGACAGAGACCGAGGGAGACACAGAGCAGGTGCCTTGCTCAGAACAGGGCTTAGCCAGCCGCCGCTGCTGTTGGGAGGTAAGGCAGGCTTCTCCAGGAGGCCAGCTTTAGTTTGGAGCAGCCAAAGGACTTGCTTTATGCCCATCTTTGTAAACAGGAGTGTGAGAGCCCATCTGCTGCATTAGGGGTGCCTAGGAGGTGGTCGGGTGCTGGCAGGTGGATAAGGACCCCAGCCCCTGCACTAGCTGTGTTGCCTCCTGCTAGCCAGTTCTGCTCTAAGACTCGGGTTCCCCATCCATACAATGGGATGACCACGACATTTTGGACTTGACTTTCAGGCGTAGGTAGAGAATTCATGGGAAGGCTTTTCCCAGGCTGGCAGCCACCATTAACTCCACGGCGCCCAGGAGGACATTCAGTGTGGCTCCTGCCATAGGCCTGTGGAGCGCAGCACACAGTAGGTTCTCACTGAACAGCACCGAACGTTAGCTCCTCACCAGGGGGATGCCGGGGGACTAGGGGCACCCCCCTGCTGGTACCCGGGAGCCCCACTGGGCTAGTGCTGACCCCGGGAAGGGACCCCTGCACCCCCGCTCCCCGCCCCGCTGGATACCCACGGAGGTTCTACCTGCAGAAATCAGCAACGAGAGGACGGTGAGCACGTTCAAGGACTGCTGGCCACAACTGGTCATCATTTGGCTGGCATCGATCCGTCGGGAGCTGCCTGTTTAACGAGATCCGGCAGAGGCTGGGTGTGGGCTGCCTTGCCTGCGGGTGCAGACGCTGGCTTTGCTGCCCACAGCGGGGGACGGGCGGGGAAGCGTGTTTGCTGGGAGCAGGGGCTGGGCCGCCGATGATGGAAACGCTGCCATCCAATTTCCTTTCTGGAATGAATGACCTCCCCCCACCAGTCAACTGTCACCTCCTTTTCCTTTCACGGCAAAATGAGACTTAATCGAAGGAGGACCGATGGCTCAGGTGGTGGGAACCACCGGCGGGCTGAGGCCGGGGGGCCGGCGCCCGGCGTGCGGGGGGCCAGAGCGGCCACTTCACGTGGGGGTGGGCGGTGGGGTGATTGGACAGGAGCTCACGCACCTCCGGGGGGCTTGCGGGACGCAGGTCTCCCTGCTGTGCCGCTCGCAGTGACTTCCATTAACCCCTCCACCAGTCCGCACGGAGCCGGGCACCTTCCACGCATTAGGGACACAGCAGTGGACAAAACAGACGCCGAGTACCACTAAGCGGAATCTGTCCCTGCCCCGCTGGCACTCCAGGGAGGGAGGCTGACGGCGCACAGACAAGCAGATGAATATTTGAAATGCTACGAGGCTCCTGGGGATACACCCTAAAGAACTGAAAGCAGGGGTGCGTGCAGACAGACGCTTGCACACCCATGTTCGCAGCGGCAAAAGGTGGAAACAACCCTAGTGTCCGTGGACGGTATGTGTGGAAACAAAAGGTGGCCAATTCGCACGGCGGAATAGGATTCAGCCTCAAAAGGGAAGGGGGTGTTGACACATGCCACGACACGGACGAACCCCGAGGATGTGGTGCTCAGTGACATGAGCCCGACACAAAAGGACAACCCCTGTGTGATTCCACGCCCATGAGCTCCCCAGGGTCGTCACGTTCCCAGAGACGGCGAGGAGGATGGTGGGCGCCGGGGGCTGGGGACAGATGGGAGTTCGTGTTCCATGGGGACGGAGTTTCAGTTTGGGAGGATGGAGGGAGTCCTGGAGACGGATGGTGGTGATGGCTGGGTGGACGGAATGCCACTGAACTGTGCACTAAAAATGGTTAAAACGTCAATTTTATGTTATGTGTGTTTTACCACAATAAACAAAGCCATGAGGAGGAATAAAGCCAGATGTGTGTGTGTGGGGGGGGGTATATAGCGGTGCCGGGGGGCTCCTTCAGACAGGGTGGTGGGAGAAGGCCTCGGGCGGAGGTGACCACAGGCAGACCTGAGTGAGGCAGGAGTGAGCGGCATGGCTATTGGGAGGAACAGTGCTGCAGACTGGGGAGCAGCAGGTGCAAAGGTCCTGAGGCAGGAGCAGCTGGGAGGCCAGTGGGGGACGCTGGCAAGGGGGGAGCAGGAGGCCACCTGAGGCAGGACCTTGGCCCTCGGTGACCACTTCACATCAGGTTGTTGAAGCCCCGGGACAAACCTGAGGGCACGTCACCATCACCACCCCCTCCCTGCAGGGGTGTGGGAATGGAGGCTGGGGACAGGAGAAGGCCTACGTGTGCTCTGTGTAAACTCAGTGGCCCAACCCGAGTCCCAGCGGGCTGTAAGCTGCCTATGGCTGTAAAAAGTGTAGACACTCGGGATGGGGATTAATTCGCTGAGCCCCTAATATGTGCCAGGCTCATCCTCTTCCCTCATGGCACCTCATCATGGTGTATGAATTGCGTCTACCCAAATCCTCTGTTGCAGTTCTAAACCCCCCGTACCTCAGAATGGGACCTTATTTCGAAATAGGGTCATTGGAGATGTAGGTCACGCTAGAATCCGATCGGCCCCAATCCAACACGATTGGGGCCTTATAAGAAGGGGAAATTTGGACACGGAGACACGCACAGAGAGGAGACCATGTGAAGACAGAAGCAGAGGTTGGGGTGATGCCTCTAAGCCAGCGAACCCCAAAGATCTCTAGCAAACCTCCAGAAGCTGGGGGAGAGCCTGGGCAGACTCCCTGGCAGCTCCCAGAAGGATCCAGCCCTGCCCACACCTTGATCCTGGACTCTGGCCTCCAGACTATGAAAGCACACACTTGGGTTGTGTGGTACTTTGTTCCGGCGGCCCCAGGACACCACCACACATGCTCCCGTGGGGACTGCCCCAGGACGGGTTGGGATGGACACGGAGGTGTGAGGGGTGCTCTCGGCTCACCTGGGAGCTGGAGCCTGGACAGCCCCCTCACCACCACTCCGCCCCTGGTGGAGACCTGTGCGCCCTCCCAGCAGGGTGTCCCCCCAAAGGCAGAGCAGGTTTTGGGGGCTTCCTTGACCCCTCCAGTCCTGTCCCCTTGTTTGGTGAAGGCCTCCCCCTCCCAGGGGAAGGTCTGAGAGCAGAGGACACACTGCAGAGATTTGCTGCCAGAAAATATAGTTCTGGAAGAGGGCACTGGGAAGGGCATGGCACAGTCCACAGGAATGGCCTTCTGACTGCCCAGGCTGTCCCGGGGCACCTGCTCTGGGCCCAGCCAGCCTGTCCTTACCCTCGGGAGCTCACAGCTCGGTCAGGGAGGGCACAGGGGCGCCAGCTGGGGTCCCAGGAGGCCCTAGTCCTCCTGAGTGGTGGCAGGCAGAGCAGGGAGCCACCCTGGGTAACCCGGAGGCTTGAGACTTCCGAGGGAGGAGACAGGACTGGACTCCAGGCCAAACGCAGGGGGTGGATGGCCGGGCCCCGCGGGTGGACCTAGGATGCCATGTGCTGTTCGTCTGAAGCGTGACCCAGGGTAAGAGGGGGGACGGCGTGAGTGTAAGATGGAGCCGAAATGCCTTCATTCGGTGCTTATGCAAGCTGACGGCAGGACAGCCCCTGGGGAAGGGCCCTCCTATCTCTCCTACAGGCCTCCCTGGACCCATCGGAGCCCCACTGGCTGTAAACTGCTTAATTGTTCTGAGCCTGGGCCTCCTCCCAGCCTCCCTCAGGGCCCTCCTGGGAGGATGAAGGAGATTAAAGCATTTCAAAGTGCTTAGCCAGGATTTGCACTGAGGAAACCCAAGGATCCACCCTGGAAAACACAGGGCGGGGGGTGGAGGGGCGGGGAGTGACAGGTCCTCTGAGATGGTCCCCTCCGAGCCTCCACGCCGTAGGTGAGCAAGCCAAGGCCCACTGAGGGCTGATACAGGTCTGTGGACTGCGGGCCCTCTGGCTCCTGTAGGATGGGGCTTCCCCACTTTGGGAGCCAGGCTCAAGTCCGAGGGCCAGTGGGTTTGTTGAATGAATACAGGGTGGGGGGTTGCACCTCTGCCTTGGACCCAGCACTCCCTCTGCTGCTCCAGCCCCTACAAAGCCCTCCTTATAGTAGGGGGCTGTCACTCACACCCGGGTGTCCTCCTCTTTCTCCTGTGAGTCCAAATCCTGCACCACCTTAGAATCGGCTCCAGGAGGCCTGCCTCGATCCCGTCAGCTGGGAGAAGTCTGTCCCTCCATGAGACATGTCATGTTCCATCTCTTCTTTCATTCATGTGTTCATTCATTTACTCATTCACGCATTCTCCCAATATCCACTCGTTAACCCCCAGTCTGGAACAGGGTCTGGGCTGGGGTCTAGGGGCGGGGAGGAGGGGGTATGCCAGGCTGGAGGCCCACCAAGCTCTCCCTTACGTGATTGGTCCCCAGGCCCTCCTCTGTTAGGCCACGAGGGTCCTGGGCCGGGGCCTGGCCAGCTGGGGGCCATGGCCATGGAGCTTGGGCTCCAGAGTCCCACAGACCGGGTGAGAACCCCAGCCTGGCCAACTCCGGCCTCGGGCCCTCAGGCCTGTCTGGGGGGACTGAAGGCCTCAGGGGCCAGCATACTGCAGATGTGTGGGAGCAGGACACATGACGGCCGCATTTGTCCCCGTCTGGGACTGGTCTGCTCAGACTCCACGGCTTGGCTGTGCTCCCCACCCTCACCCGGGGCTGCCCGGGCGTGACTCCACGGCAGGGGTTGGGGAAGCCACAGCCCTGTTTGCTGGACAAAGGTTGGGGTACAGGGACTCGGCGGCGGCGGGGGGGCATGGGGGCCTATGGAGAGAAGCAGCTCAGGCGCCAGAACTGAACGCTGAATCTACGATGGAACAAAGCCCACCACAAAAACTCCATTTCTCACGAGACAGCAAAACTCAGAAGCCGGCCACTCCAGCCTGGCGGGGTCAGAGTGGCTTTGGAAACTCAGTGGCCGGCGGCAGCTGTGATCCTTGGTCTGTCCTCAGGGGTCACGCAACCGACAGCACCAACCTTCACAAGGCCAAAGCCATGCCCTCGTGCCCTGCATGGGGTCTGCAGAGGGGGACGTGTGCTCAGGGACTACGAGCTCAGGTGTACAGGGCATGTCACGCCAGGTACAGCCACCTGGGACCCCCCACAGGTGACGCCTGCGGGAAACGGGAGCCCCCTTCCTCCCACTGGGCTGCCCCAGGGCCGGCTTTCTCAGGTCGTTCCCACACCCACCCCCACCCGAGTCCTGGACTCTGACTTTTCTCTATATACTCTCAGGGAATCTCGCCACCCAGCACAGGCAGGTCATCAAACCCCATCTCGTAAAGAAGGAAACTGAGGCTCAAGGTCACACAGCTCCTCAGCGGCTCAGGCAGGAGGCCAACCCGGCCTAGATCCTGCTCACCACCTCTGCACGGCAGGAGTTTCCACCTCCCCGCCGCCGCCGAGAAAGCACATTTACCACAGACAGATTAGATTTATTGTCCTGGGTTCTAGTTCTTTGAAAATTGGTAAACGGCCCACGAGGGTAGCTCAGGGCCAACAATAAAACTCCAATAACTGGGAGAACATTCTGGATGAGTAGGACTCCCCCTGAGCTCTGGCCGCATCCAGAATCACGAGTCGGGCACGCAGCTCTGCGGTCCACCCCTCAGGTCAGCCGGGGACTGCTGTTTCCAGATTTGAGGATTATTTTTAAACACCGAATTTGGCGAGGCTGGAGAGGAGAGGAAGAAGGGCATGTGGAGAGAAACAGAGCTGATGAATTACACCCCACCGGGAACAACAACAGATCTGTTTTCTCGTCAGCCCAGGCGAGGGAGGGATGTGGGGTAGGGCCTGGC